AGCTATATTTTTTTGGTAGATAAAATGGTAATAGGGAAATATGATAAAGATATGGAGTTTGAAGACTGGCTTAAAGTGCGCAATTCAAGTGAGGGACACGAAAACGATCTTTCAGACGAAGTGGTATTTTTCTTGTTACTGAGAGCTGTGTTATACGAAAGTTGCCCTTAGTATAACACCTACATACATAATTTTCCTTCTAGACTGCGATTTTCACATTGTCGACCTATTTACAGGACTCATACATACCGATGGTAAATAGTAAATACAAATTTGCTCACACAGTTGGTGCTATTATAGCAAATGACACACAGAATGGTGCAGTCTTCATCCACAGTTACTAACACATATCACTTGACCTCCTAATCGTGCAATTTGCTGCCAGCCTTTGCCAGCATAGTCAATTCCAGACCTAAGATCAAGAAATTCCAAGGGGTTACCTCGAAGAAAGCCGACACTTTACCCTCCAGCACAATTTTCTGTATAGAAGCGAGTATTGACTGCAAGGATTCGGTTACCTCTTAATGGGCACCGTTTGCAAAATAAGTTCGGCATATAAAACTTTTTATTAAACGCTCTGACGGTGTTAATAAATACTCGCTCGGTAACGATCAATCTTCTATGGCACTTTTGCAAAAATGAAAGTTTCCTTCTTGAATTACGTGGGCTCCGTTAAACTTTCTTAAGCTCATGGTTCCACACGGCGTAGCCTATTGTACAAAGGATATTGTCCGACGAGGTCTTTCAAATCAGCTCACCCCATAGCCCAGTTACCTTTACCGATCGTAGTTTTTACCTTATATTCCGATGTATATGAGTTGAAATTCGTTAATATCCGTGAAGCACTTCCCATGGAATTTTGTGTAATACCTTTCTCGGCGTCTCCTTCGCAATTGCACAATAAACGTTCTGTACAATTAAGTATTTCTTGTACAGTAAATATATGATGAGTGGAGAGAAACTTGATTTCGACCCTTAACTCACTTTCGGATTGTTTATACTTTATATTTGTTTAATACACGCAGGTTGAGCTATTAGGATATAATGACCCCATAACACTGCTGGTTGTAAAACACCTACAAAGTTTGCACTAGGTAATACTACAGAAGCGCGCCGTATCGCGCTTTGGTATCCACTATAGTTACTTTTGTAACTAAAGTAACTATTCCAGTTAATTGCCGAACTGCAATAGTGAAATTGTCTGCGTACAACCAAAAGTTGTAGCAAACTATATGCTAATAGCAGTGTACCGAGAGAACGCGTCTATTACTGCTACTATACATCACTCGTCTGCATTACCCAATACAGCCTTTCTTTATAGTCGATAGTTTGTGGCGCACATTTCTTCGCTAAGCTGTGCTATTGCCTCGTTGAGCTCGTTTCCTGCCTCATAGAACCTTAGAAGAAGCTGCAGAGGTAGATCTCTTTCCAGTAGGCCCCCGGCAAAGGGGCAAACCTTTTTGAATGAATCAGCCGGGACATAGCTTGGTTTCTACCCTATTAACCCTTAATCGCTGAACCTGTACTTTGAGCTCTTTTAAAAGTATATAGCCCATACCAAACCGCTATATATATATATATATATATATATATATATATATCCATATTTTCTACCGCGTTCAATTATATATATATATATATATAATTGAACGCGGTAGAAAATATGTGGTCCGTACAGTCTCATATGTAGAAATGATTTAGGGTCATTATTCTAAACACGACACTGTATTTAGTCTTGAATACTGCCACTGCAACCGAAAAGCTATGGAACCTATATATACCAAAATAAATACATATGTAGCATATGTTTGAATTCACATATGACATTCCCATCTATTTCCTACAGGTAAATTCCAAATATTCCATCTAATTAGATATTGCTCTCATTATGCATATTCTAACTAGAAAAGTTTAATGCCCCTCAACTACAGAATCGACAAAACCGAACGTATCGTACCATACTTTACGCGTATACTTTTCCCAAAGGGTGAAGCCTCTTAGCACGCAGCTCACAATTTAAGCCAGCATACAAAGCCTAATGACCCTATTTATATAATCTTGAAAAGGTTCTCAAATCCCCTTCTATTTAGCTGTCGTGCACACACGTACACCCACGGCACACGCCAGTCATCCTGTACACCTACTAATTACCAGCGTAGTCCGCCTTACTTGCATTAGGTCACAATAAAGCTAGCAACAGCCATCCATACTGAATGTCGCTAGCTGCACCCATCACGATACTAATATGAGATTATCAACGTACAAACCTGTACCGGTACTCTCCGTTAAAAGCAGGAGCTTGCGTGCCCAAGCATGTCTGTGATAGTGGAAGTATCCTTCCCTAAGACACACGATGCCCGTTAGCCCCTTTTGTGCCCTTTCAGCCTCTTGTCTCCTTTTTCCTAATGCCGCCGTCTTCACCCCTCTACGACAGGACCTTTTTGAGGCAATGGACGAACAAGCGAACGAACCAGTGGGCAGAGTCAATCGAATCAGCTCTTAGTGCTCCTGAGGTTTGCATGTGTTGTATGTCGTAATTATCATCACAGAGGGACGGCAACAAACGTAACAACTGCAATACTAGCGCAAAAAAGAGACAAGGTCGTTTCGCTTGCTAGTCTGCTGTGTTTTGTGATATAGTTGATGTGAATAGATAAAAGGCTGATTTTCGAAGCAAAACAAGGCTTTGCATTCCATTACTACTTGACAGCTTTTCTCCCATCCGCCCGAACCTGCTTCATTAACGCTGTTGTCTTCAGTTGTGCAAGCACTTACGAATACGTACACTTAATACGAGGCAAAGCGTTAAAATCGAGCTCTTTTAACAATGAGTTAGATTCGCTGGCGATTCAGTTTGGGTCAATCAGCTGTTTGCTGCATAGGCTCAGAGGATATACCGCATCATTGAACGGAGCGTACATCACTCTAAAATTATTTTGACAAATTTTCCACGAACATAAACGAAGAATCAACTGTCTTAAATAAAGTAGCTTTAACAATTAGTCGAAAGCAATGATCCGCGTAAATTTCGTAAATCATGAAAGGGTTCATCTGGTCAGTCCCTGCTTGACAAAATATTACCTTAAACATTTATCTATGGCGTTTTATTGAATTGGCCAGAGTCCTCTGTTTCCGTCAAAACACAGTAAGTGCTCAGTCCTCTTCAATAATGCGGATGTTCCATATGCTCTAATAGCTGTTGAACGTAATCTTTGAGCTGCGTGATTTCGTTTGACTGACTAGCCTAGGTCGAGGGTCTATCCTGAGCGAACTCCCTCTCAAACAACTACCTAAATAGGTTCACGAAAACATGTTTTCCTGCAAATAAGGAAATTATAGACTTTAAATCAAAATCGGTTTAAGTTGTCCACGTTGCTCTACCGCCCAATAGTGGTAGATTTTTACAGCAAAACAGAGCAAGCTTGGGGATGCCCCAAGGGACATTGCGGCGCATTACCCAATTCTGCTGTCAATTGAATACAAAATTATCCAAGTCGACTCTTGACGAACTATCTTTTCAGCGTATGCAAACGAAATCCATCTCTGCCTTTGCGACAAGCTAAGCCAGACAAAGCTAATTTGCCGGGTCGGTAAAGTAGCCGGTCGGGATAAAAAGAAGAAAACAATGATACACCCACCCTGCTAAGACTCAATACAATAAATCATACTATTGTATACGTGTATTGAATACGGAACACTCCGTTAGCGTTTCCAAACATGCTTTGAAAAACAATTTACGAATGTTTTTTTTCTCACTTTTGCTTTTAATGGTATTGGTACGTTTGGACAATCGAAACTTCCCTAGCGCTAGAAGTTACCTAACCTAATCTTAAACTTATCTACCCCTGCAGATTCCGACCAACTTAATCATGTTTGGAATTAAACAACGACATAGCATAAAAAAACGACCACAAAAATATCGGTTCATATGTTTACACATGTGCAGATTAATTCCATTGCGAAATTTGGGCTGCAGGAATCTTCAACAAAAAAGAATGGAAAATTATTGGTCGCACGCTTGTCGCGGCGGTAAACGATTACCACATTCCAAAAAAATAATTTGCCCTTCAATATAGCCAGGAGCAGCATAATAACGTCTACCATGTATCGAAGTCGTAATCCATTCATTTTGATATATTATGCCGTTTAAAAATGTTATACGATTATATGTTACTTCCGTATGCATACGAGCTATTGAAAGTTCGCAGCAAAAATCCAAATAGTTTATCACCGGATAATACAAAAGTGCTGCGTTTAACATCTTTTTGGGGAACTACAGGAAGTTTATAGCAGACGATAAATACACTGACCACCCAAACGGTAAACCTTACTATAAATAGTATGCTGTCTTACAAGGAAGTCAAGACAGTGTTCGCGCGAGGTTCGACTGCACAGGCTCTTCTTGGCCAGGGCACATTATAATAGTCTGTGGTGTCGTCAGGCCTTTGATATGCAATCCGAATTATTGGGTAGCACCTACCGAGACCCATCGTTGTTCTGTGCTTCAGGGCCAACATTTCATATGGGACGCAGAGTACAGTATAATCCAGTAATCAACGTATCGAAGGGCGTAGGGAACCCTGTGTATTTTCACAGCTGAAGTACTCGACGAGGCGTAATCGGTTGAACTCACAAGTCTTACGAAGCGCATCGAGCCCTGTGATTTTGGCACAGTTTAAGTTCAAAGCCTAGAAACACGTAATTACATAAGTTTCATCACTATAACCATTTGGTTAAGGCACACATAGGTGTGGATAATTTGCTTGCAAAATATGCAATTTTCAAGACTAAAATTCGATTTTCAGTTAACTATGTAACGAATATACTTTAGAACCGAACAGATTTTTACAATACATACTTTATAGGGAGTATTACACTTTACTATATCAAGAATCATTCAAGTAGTAATTGTAGAATAATGACGTTTGAATACAGCTATAACGGAACTGCTTTTGAAACAACAAAACGCGCCATTGAGAAAAATCAACAGTATCCTCATATTGAAGCCATGTCGTACGAAGTTCATTGGAAATGCGCCCCGTCACCGTCTCTGCGCAAATGCGCTGTCAAGACTTAAGGTAGAACAATAGTTTAGAATTTAAATAGCAGACGAAAACTGACCCTGTTTGTTATTTTTGTCGTCTGCTGTCTTGTAGTTCGTGTCGTCTGCTTGTTTCTTGGTTTCCGAAAGAGTTTCACTGGAAAAACGCGTTTAGGTGTAGACTGGGTGATACGACAGCAGTATGCTGATTCGACTGTATGACGTATGGTTGGTTCATTCGACGTGACGACCCACTGACGAATAAAGTTTCATTGTGAATCTATGTAAAGAAATGTTTAGGTAGCGTTTCCTGGCTAAGCCTTTTACATGACAGTAATATATATATATATATATATTACTGCCATATAAGTATATATTATACTATATTATAAAAAAAGTATATATATATATATATATATACGTTTGACACTAGACCTGTTATTTCGGCGTAGAAGAAATTATAGCTTTGACAGATCATAAATCAGCAACCGCTACAGCACCAAGTCTCAAAAAAAGGTACCTGGTCTTTGTAGCTTACTTCCATAGCATCCTTGTGCTATGGTAGCTACCTTATGATCTGAAGCGATAAATGTTCTGCTTGTCCATTCAAGGTAGTCTGTGTAGGAGAAAAAGCTTTACCCTGTAAGGTCAACAGAAAGAATCCGCGTACACCCCGTACACCAATGCTACTCAGGAGCGTAACATCAGGAGCAACTGCCTGAAAGTCTCTGCTTTCCTGCGTGGCTCACTTATCCAACGTACGATGTCGCGTACAATGAAATCACTATGTTCGGTTTATTTCTAGAATAGGCAAACGATGCTGCCTTTGTTGGACAAACAGTCAGGAGCCTGTTTCTGCCACAAGCCTCGGCCGCACAATGAAAAGGCTGCAACCTAGTATGTTGGCAGATGATTACCTAGGCAAAGAAAGATGCAGCGAAAAGGGCCTGAAAGGTCGGATCAACGAATGACTCGGGGTACAGTAGTGTTAACTAACTGGAATTACAGCAGTTTATAATATATGAGAAGTTAGTCTCTTTTTGGTCTTGCTAAAAGGTCCGTTGTTAAAATATGCTTCGATAGTTTCCTAGTGCTCCTGAAAGATTACCGACAGACCAGCTCTCACTACTCTGATTGAACTTAATTTAACTTCTGAATCTTATAACACACAGTGTCAAACTCTCATTTTCAAGAAGAAACGCCCTGTTAAATCGTCTTCAGCATCACCTGTTAAGTTTGACACTGACTTAAAGTTTACTCTCAATGACTTAAGCAGTGCCTCGACGTGCCTTGTTTGCCGATCAGAAAAAATTAATGATTATTTTGTTTTCCTATCTTCAGTGACATATGGTTCTTCCCAACTAAACTTTGCCCTGAACAATGTTGCGCCGCCCAGTTCAAATCGTCCAAAGAAATACGGAGTTCGTTTAAAGCGGTCGAATAACAGACTCATGCACTTTGTTCTGATGAGTTCGGTAGTGATAAGTCCAACATGAAACACTTGTACGTTATAACTGGCGGAAAGTAGAAAATTTGATATACGGATAAAAATTTTATGCTTACAAATCGTTCAGGTAACAAAATAAGTAGAAGGGATTAGCATGGAAGGCAACTAAAAAATACCGCCAGAAATTACTTTCTGCCTTGACTCAAAGTGTTGTAAATGGAAATCCGAAGATTTAACATATTCAAATGGACTTACTCAGATGTACATGGTGCTCTAGTTGGGTTAAAGTATCAGTATTTCCGATCCTCGAAGAGTAACATCAACAACAAAACACGTAATAGTGTGGTGTTTTCTTGACGATAATGATTTGTTGTCCTTAATTAGCAAGCACTCCTTTTTTTTTTTATCTAGCTCTTGATTATAACTTTGATTAGGCGTAGTACCAGCGATTTGTTTACGTCTACGCCATTCCAGTCTCTCTTCGTTTAGCTGAATCAAATCCTGAAAGTCTGTTACTAAAAGCTTCACAACACTGGCGTACATCTTGCTTCTTCTACACACGCACACACACACACACATATATATATATATGTATAGAGAGAGAGAGAGATACATTGCTTCACACTAAGCACTACTTAGACAGACAAAAACATCGCTAGCGTCAACAACGATTTTCGTCATCCATCCGTCTAACGCGCGTTCCTTCGGTTCTTCTTGTACGTTGCTATTGCTTTACTTCTGTTTCAGACAGTTAGCTGATTACGTCATTACGTGCCCTTAGTCCACCATCTCTGTGACCACTGCACCAGTCGCCATCGCGCTGTGCTGCACGAACAGAAGACTAAGCAAGAACTAGCAAGACGAAACTAGTCGAATTTTGTGTTAACGTATAAGGCAAGACAGATAGACAGAAACTGTGGATCGTGTGTTCGAGTGTCATATATATTGCTGACGGCACTGTGTCATCGAGACTTGCATATCCCTATAGGTTGACCTGAAATGGGTGACGCCTTGTCCTACAACTAGGATGTGCAACGTCATAACGAAGGCTCGAAAGAAATGGGCGCTGTTTACGCTCGTAGTGACATCGGCAGCCGTGCTAGAGACCGGCCGTGCTGTTAATGCCTATGGTAAGTCGAGTTAATATAGCTTCGTGTGTAAAAAAAGGCATAGCACTACAATTGTTAATTATTAACGAACGGATCTGATGTACCATGTAAAGCATATGTATTCTTATCGTTTCGTATAAGAATCATAGTGACCTCCGGGGAGATATTTTAGACACATTCACTTTCAAAAGTTTTAGTTAGTAAATATTGAGCATAGATTTCTATATAAAAAAACGATCCGGCACCTGGTACAGTGTAAGAAGAACAAGTTCGGCTCCTTTTATAGCGTTAAGTAGACGTTTGTAGCGGTCTTGCCATTATATTACATAGTCAGGTTACCAAGGTCGCGTTGTCGGGGGTGGTTTTTAAAAGAAGTGTTTTTCTTTGCGAGTGATGTGTTTTGTTTTCTTTATGTCTATTCGAGCGATTTTTCCCGCCCTAGCCCCAGGATCTGAAGCTTCCGCACTTAATGCTTGTCGCTATACGGCCTACACCTACTTAACTATAATACCAATAATCTACTTGGAGCAAAATTGCAGCAAACATGGTGAAGGTTGTTCTCTATTTATAGCTCTGATTTATTAGGTTACTGTAGAGTAAGTGTCAGCTTCTTCTTCGTTTAACACCTCCACAATTTCGATTGTCGGCTAAAGGCCAGTCTGCGTTCACTAACGAAAGCAAAGGAGACTTAGATAGAAGAAACGCCTACTCAAAGGACAGTTCGCGTTACCTTTCTCAACGGTCCGACCAGCCAACTCCAGCTCCGAGATGATTCCGGATACGATGAGGAAAGCAGATGAGCGTAACAGCACCCGCAGCCATGCTTGCGGCAAGCGTGCGCGCTACGTACATAAAAGAAACGGAATTTGTTTTTCCACACTTCTCGATCGGGTAGTATTATAGGTCCAATATTGCCATTGCGCGTTAAGGACATTATGGCTACTTTATAAAAGAACCTAGAACTAAGCGAAAAAAATGTGGACTCAGTTTGGTCGTGTATTTGATGTATTTGTATATGTGGCAAAACATCTGAGATAAATATAGCTCGCCGTAGCCTGGCCCATTTATGGTAGATGAATCGTATATTGTTCGAATTCACGCTACCATATTTACTTTGAAGATTTCTCTATTGTCTTGGCAATGGTAAATATCGATTGTCAACAAATTTGCTTTTTCGATGATGCCTTTCGCCAGCTTCAGTTGTGATATGTTTATTAGGAAACAAAAATATCTATACATATATTGTTTAATCTGTAATGTTTTTACTTCGTAATGCAGTTAGATACAGCCCGTTCAGTTTAGCTACATGCGTTTCTACCCGCCACATGATCTTGATACAAACTGAAAGATCATGGTCGACAGGTCTGATAAGGGAACTCAAATTCAGTATATGTCATAAGTGCAGCTCAAAAACTGTCTTGGGATTAATTTTGTTTTCTACTCTTATTAAGTAAATTCAAAGATGAACAGTCAACTCCATCATAGTGGGATATGTCGTACTGTTACCCTTTCTAAATGATCATACATGCGTTATATCATCTTTCCCGCCACAGCCGATTTCCGTTAGGCTTCACCTGAGTTCAGGCGCGTATTTAAGCATTATTTGTTTCATACATGAAGGTTCTTTGCAGGAATTAAGATCTCAAAATGCTAGTTTCCCGTTTCTATCGCTTTCGCGTTGGCCTATAGCCGTCACAGCTCACCGTCACCACCCAACGATCGTTGTTCTAGCTCCAAGGCGGTACCTTCAAGGAACATACCTCAGCATCTGCTAAACACGTCGAGACGCACATATCGCTAAACGTTAGAAAGAAACACTTGGGTATTAAATCAACGTCTATACTGTGTAGGATTACCAACAGAAATAATTTCAGCCAAGGGAAACAAAGGCGATAGGTGGCAACGAATTTAGAGAGCGACGCTCAAAATATACTGCTGTGCGAGCGTTATCACATGAACACACACAGCCTTTCTAAGGTTTATAAAATGTTGGAACGCAGTCCGAAAAAAAAACAGTTTAAGGGCTTGAGCAGAGCCTGAGTAACGACTTTCTGGACAATATGAGAGCTTGAACAGATAGAGAACTATGCGTTTACTATGAGAATGAATCCAAGACAACGAAGAAAACTTTGTCTTGCTTTAAGCTTTTCTGATGCGTGCTTATTCAATGATTTTGAAACAAGCTTCTTCCATTGTGTGTCTTTATAATGGATTGGTGATATTTTCGCTAATCCTCTGAACACGCCGGAAGCGGCTGGCTGAGAAAATCAGCAAGACGGAAAGTCCATCATCGAATGTTGAACCCCCAAAGCGGCATGCTATACATTATGAACAAGAGCTTTTATTTCATCCAAATGATTCGAGAGGCCAGTATTTATGGTTCGCGTTACGTCCTTCGATGGAGGCAGCTATCCCCTGATGTTATGCTCATATCATCCACTGCGCAGTGTATTTCACTGGGCAAATGCAGCTGCAGTAACTGTTGTTCTGTAAAGACTCCGGGGACTGAAGGAGTTAGGGGTATCAACTGTAGATATTATTGTCAAACATGATTACCTGTCTAGCTGTAAGATAGTGCTAAGCCAGCTTGTTGCACTTCTTTCAGTTACCCCCGTGAAGTAAGGTCGTTTGAAATGTTACGTTCCAAAATAATTGCACACACCCAATTTTCATGCCTAATTCACTTCCTTAACTTAAGTGCTTTATCGATCAACAAAGGTTCTATTTCGCCCTGACTGTTAACTTCGTTCAGCGTCAAACCTATTTACGCGCTACGATTTAGCTACACAAGCACAAACTGTTAATAAGTTGAGTTCTTTGAGTCTGATGGTCGTCGCTTAATAAACAGCGTCTGCGAAACTCGAGTATTATGCTTTAATTAAAAGACAATTTCATCGTATAGACTTCAATATGTTGAAAGATATGCATTGTGTATTAATTTGCCTTATAAGTAAATACTTACGCCTCCATGGGCGGGGTTAACCTGTCATGTAAACCTAATGAGGAACAAACGAGAGCTTCTCTAAGTGGTTGCTTCCTTCAGTTGCCCATTTCCAGTCTGGCGTCGGTAAGACAGACATACGCTAACTTCTCAGTTGAGATCAGTATAGGCTTTGCATTGTGTTGCATTTAGCAAATAAATACGTGGTGATTTTATCCGCCAGCTCTACATCAAACTGGCTTTGAACTCGCTTATAAGTATATATTAATGCCCACTCCCGTACCTATTAAATCTCGTGCATGACAGGGGCAGAGGAAACCGAGTTCAAGCAATGACGTTACTTAAAGGGCAGACGCACTTTGGTCAGCTACAAAACTTTGACGCGTGTCAACGCCCCCGGCAGTTCATTTTATATTTAGGCTCCCTCTCGTTATGGTAATGCCCTTGAACGCACCGCCGACTAGACCAACCGTGTCTCAACATAGGTAATATGGTTCGTGTTACTGTGATTGCATATATTAGCGTTACTAGAATATAATTTTTGGGTGAGAACAGTTACGAAGGTCTTTCATATTGGCACTATTTGTCGACGAGCGATTCCGCCAAACCGGAGCGGGGTCGGCTCTAATCGGCCTAATAGCCACAGTGGACGTCCGAAATGTAGATAGGGACGAGTTTGGAGCTATGAGATTTCCCGTTTTTGGGTGTATGCCAGTGCCAGACATCACAGGCGGTACGATTGAGCTCAGAGCAGAGCTATTTCAGAGCGTGTTTCGTCATCGTCTAATTCTGAAACCCGTCTGTGTTCATCGCAAATATTAGAGAGTGTCTAATACTATGTTGCTTTGACTGACCCTCATTCAATACTTCACTTACTTTCAAACTCTTTCATCCGATTAATATTGTGAGAAGTACGTAACGTTCTTGGGCGTTGTAGTCAAACATCATCGGCCAACTCAAAAGATGAATATCGGTCGAAGTTTTAGACGGCTGCCGTGAACGCAATAGGGCAGCTTTGCGGAACGGCAAGTTTGGTTAAACGAATTGCAAACTTAACGTTTTCGCGTAGATCAATCGGCGCCTGCGACATTTTATACAACCATTGTATAAAAATTCGCGCGTTCTGTAAAGCGCCGACTATTATATTCTACGAAGAGGGAGCCCTTGGTAGTCCTGGATCAGGCGGAACCGTAAGCTTAATTAAACAGAGTGGTCACCTACGTTTTGATCACTCTAGTAATAATAATGAAATTTATGTCTTGAAACTCAGCAAAAATTTTCAATAAAAGGGTTTTATTAGAAAGAGCGAATATTTTGCGAAATAAACGCTACATTCTTGTTCCATCTTTCACAAGCGTGAGCCAACTATATAAGATCTATCTTTAAACTCCAATGGTATAAACATTGCATACAAATCTATTATATTAATAATAATCATATATTATAATAAGATAAATAAACCGGTAGTAGTTGTACAGGAACTTCAGCTAATTTTTCTTGTTTCAATGAAAAGTAGATTACAGAGAGCACTAGAAGCACAAACGAGTTGCGAGCTATGACCTAATGAGCTAGCCTTGAGACCAAGTAAAAGAAGATGCGTGGAAGCTGGCGTACTATAGCGTAGTAAATCCGGTTTACCAAAGCTAACCTATAAACTAACTACATCTAGTAATAAAGATAGTATTGCAACGATGACTTAAGAATAATATTATTACTGTGAAAATTATAGAAAAATCTTCTCAAGATGGTAAGCGATCCCAAGAGGCATAATACGTAGTAATACAGCTGCGTTGATGAGCTATGTTGCTTTCCTAGGGGAAATTTTCATATCCGGTACTGAAGGACATTAGCATGAAGCCAAAGACAAAGGGGATAGTTGTACATAATTTCAAAGGGCATCTTGAGCAACTGAATCGTATATGTCAAGCTACGCCGGTTGTGTGAGCTTGAGTGCAAGCAGGCAGGATCAAACTGGAACGAGAAATCGAACCTCAGATTCTCAAAGAAGGATACCGGCCTGGCTAATAGGTAGCTGAACAAACTAGCAACTTTTTTTGTGTAACAAACAAATATATTCACT